CCTCTTATAGGTTCTCCTCAGAAGAGAGTATTTATGGAATCCAAAAATGCAGTCTCTGCATCATTCCTGTCATGACGCTTACTTAGCCTGCAAGGGCATTGTCGAAATTTCTCATTGTTAAATTTTTTCCTGCCTTTGCAGCGTCTCTCTCTTTCTATCTTTTAACGCTTTAATTGACCTTCCGGGTTTGGTGGTCTCCTCTGTCAATATTTGTGCTTACTTATGGAATTTTATAGGGCTTCTGTATTCCTGTTGCTGACTCTTGGTTTTCTTTAAGGTAGAGACCCACTCCTCAATCGATCATTTATTTACAATTTTTATGCTGATACCACACTGATTATCTTCCTTCAGCAGACTCTTCATATATAAACAGCTAAACTTAAATTAGGCATCCCATTTTCCATTTCAAGACTTCAGGTACATTTACACCATCTCTTTAGCCACTTGCTCTTGGCCTTGTACATGGTCAAATCTTGATGTTGCTGGGACTGGTCCTTGACAAAACTCAGGTAGGAAGTACATTCCTTCTATCCTTTATCAGCCTTTAAAGAATAAGTCATCTGAACAGTGCACTCTGCTGTAGTTGTTCACTTGCCTGGTATTCTGTAAAGCGGTCTTAAAATAAAGTGCGAGCAGCCTGGTTCCTGAGGAGAGATTCTTGAAGATCAGGACAGTGTTGTGTGTTTTGGCTGTGGGGATGCTGAATGATGTGCCAAATTTTGGGAACTAGAGCCTATGTCTTGGTGACCTTTCTGCATGTACAAAAGGGTTGGAGATGCTAATTTGTATGCTGGTGAGAGGGACTGCACTATGAACCCTAGTGACTGATGGTCTGAGGGTAGCACAGACAGATGCAGAACCAACCTTGTTTTTACACTGCATTATTTTCCCAGCCCTGACATGAGAGGTGTGGAGAAGGGACAAAAGTTATTTTTCCCTTGCTAAGGCACCTTTAAATTTTCTGGTTAACCAGCTGGGCTGATGGTGGTGTGGGCACTGGCCTGCTGAGAACCAGGCTAAAAATCTCCTTGTGAAAGGTAAAGTATGTGCTGTATAATACTCATTGTGTTGTTGAGAGCTTGTCTTTGTTGCTAAAAATGGTATGAATAATCCAGGGTCTGTGATTATACTCCAGGAAATCTTCAGTTTTAGTCAGGTCAAGGGACCTAATATTCATAGGATTAATAACACCAGTTGCTCTGAAATATAAAATTTGCTATGATTGCTGGGATTTTTTTTTTCCCTTCTACCACCTAGTCCTTCTCAGAGGTTTAACAAACTCCTAATGGAATAAAGTGGTTCCTTTTTTGGGATGGGAAGAGCGAGGAGAAAACATCCATTTATAGTTAGAATAGTTGTTCAGAAAAGACAACAGCAGTGTCCAAGAAAGCTGAGTAAGTCTGTGTCCCGTTGGGTAAGTGATGACTGTAGGACTTGCCAGTAAAGAATTTCTGAACAATTTGCAAAACAGATTCTCAATATCCTCTCTGCTAGATACATCATATAGATCCTTTTTCAAGAAGGAGAAGCTGGAGGGAGACCTGAAAAGCATGAATCTTGACAGTGGTCCTGGAGAAACTCATGTCAGAGGTCAGAATGAAGCATGGATCCCTCCTCCTTTCCTGTTCTTGTTTTGCTGCGGTTTGGTAGCTCATGGGACTAGCATGTGATTGCAGAGAGCAGGAAGCCAAGAAGCACCTAGCACAGGATTCCAACCCAGTTCTTCAAAGAATGAAACAGTGATAAGACAAAGGAGAAATTTCCAGGAAGGTGTTTATAGTCCTTATCTGGTAAAGGGTGGAGGGGCACACGTGGGACCTGATATGTAAGAGCTGGTAGGACTCTTCCTTCCAATTGAAAGAAGCAATGCTAAGAGTCTTTTCACGAAGCTTGAGAGAACTAAGGAGGCAGGACTGAAGCCTAGTGAGGTTGTGTCCTGGGCTCAGCAGGCACGCCAGAGACATCAGCCTGCACTTTGGCCAAAAGCAGCACAAAATAAACACGCTGCAGAGACAACCAGGCTTCTGCCCTCTAGGACCCATCTCTGTGAGCATCTGTGTTTGGTGCAGTTGCCTTTTCTGTGCAGTTGCAGGCTTGTTTCCCTTGTGCAGAGAAGGGGGAGGCATGCAGTTTAATGAATATCAGAGCGTGAAGCCTGTAAACCAGCTGATAGTTGTACTCACTGGTAGTGAGTCTCAGGGTTCATCAGGCAGCGCAGAGGAGAGCAGACCTGACACTGTGACATAGAGGCTAGGGATAGGCTGTGTCTGAACAAAGTTGAGCTCTGGCAAGCTTAGTCCTGTGTCAGAGACTGCATGTGCCATGTGGGCGTTAGGAAGTTTTAACCTTCCTACTGGTCTCAAGTTTCCTCCTAAGCTCTTTCAGTCCTTGACTTGCTTGCTGTCTGGGACAGCACAACTTGTGTCTGTCTTCAGTCCTTTTAAACTGCTCTCAGAAGTTATCATTCCTGACAGTGCCCTGAACCAGTGGGGCACATCTGTAATCTCTTGGTGACTCTTCCCACTGGCTCCCTATGATGTTCCAGCACCAAGAATGAACTTGGCACAGGTGCCTGTTGCTGATCCTGAGCCAGGCTATTCCAGGTCCCAGTGAAGGGCACTGTTTGACACGGAAGTTTGGCCAGATATGGTTGAAAGTTCCTCGTTTGTAAGCTAAATAGGGTGTCTGAGCCTAGCAGGTAATTCTGAAACATAAGCATTCTTCCTGTCTTAAAAATCCCCCAGCTGAATGAATGAGGATGGAGTTTGTTGAGAGTTTTCTGGGGATGGATGGCACAAGCCAATTTTTATCCCAACTACCAGATATGGCACCTAAAGTGTATTTGTTCTGTAATCCTGATCCTGGCTAGTGAGTGGATCTTCCAAAATGAGTCCAACAGCATCCCAGAAACATGGAGATATGACAGAGAAAGTATGCAGAAAGCACAAGGAGTTTTTGCTTGACTAGCTCAGGCAACATGTCTGAGCTCATGCTTGGGTTACAGGGCTCCTGGGTCATTCTGCTCTGTATGTTGACATGCTTGGATGTGGTTTATGGGCAGCCTAGTCCTCACCTTTCTTAGTCCTTTCTTTCCATACCTGTAGAGTAATAGACCCTTTCGAGGGACTGAAGATATCAAGCACTGCGGAATCCTTCTGTCAGGCAGCAGTTGGCTAGTGGTACTGTCTTGCTGTTCAGTCATTAGTGAGACATAAACAGTATGCTCTCCCGTCCATTATCCTGGGACAGTGGGTCATGGTGGTGCTAATTGGTTCCTATGAATCTAACGTTTCCTATAAGGAAACAGTACATGCGATGGGCTTAATTTGGCTATATTCTCATTTCCATGTTTTGCATACTCCTAACTCTTCTCTTATTGTGATGAATGCAGTGGCTCTGTAGAGGCTGTATTGGTGTAGCATGAATAACGACTGTGGGTAGGATTTTTTTATGCTAGTCTGTATTGGTTCAGTTAGCACTGTTCTGGTACTGTTAGCACTTTCCTGGCTCCAGGCAAATGGTACAGCCTGCAAAAGAGATGGGAAATCTCTGTTTTGAGCAAGGATGAGAATGACTATATGGCTACCTGGCATCTCCCTTTCTTGGGTGCTTTCTCAGTCCTTCCATTTATTGGAGACTCTTGTGTGTGCCTTGTCACTCTTCACAATGGCAAACATAGACTTAAATCGGGAAACAGCATAAATGAGGGTGTTGCTAAACAAAAAATTGCTTTTGTCCCAAATAGGAGCAGAGCCTTGAGAACAAGCAAGAGCTGAGCTTGAGCATGGCTCTTTTTCTGATGTCTGAGAGGGCTGCAAGTGCAGGGAAGGGCCAGGGGAACAGGTAAAGACACAGTGCCTGGGAACCAATCTGATTAAAATGCAGCCACAAACAGTGAAACACAAAGGAAAAAAGTGGCTTTTGTAGGTTCCTCTTGTGTTTAGAGTACTCACGAATGCACTGAGTGCACTTTAGCTCTCACTTTATGAAGAGTGCACTCCTAAGCACCAAAGCAGCTACTTCTCTCTCCCATTTGAGGGTGGCGCTGAAGGTCTGGGCCACTGTCAGTCCCACTTACTTTTGTGGCAAAGTCTGTACTGCTACAGCTCCTTGTTGCTGTCCTGGAGAAATAGTTGTGGAGTTAAAAGCTGTAATGTTCTCACTAAAGCGTGTGCTACCACTACAGGAGCTCCTCAGCTGGGTGTTTGAGGCTGTTGGCGCAGCAGAAACCAGAGCTGCAGGGGTTTCTTCTTGCAGCCCTTCAGAGCCAAGCATTTTGTCCAGGGGCAGTTGCCAAGTCCCATCACATAACTCAATGTTTAGGATACATGCTGTTGACTTTGCTTTCTTTGCTCTCAACCTTGATGTTTTTCTGGGTTCTCCTAGTGATTATAGAGTGAGTCTTGTTTTGGGAAGGGGCTCATTAGCAAACAGTGACATAAAGTGGCTGAGCCAGATTAATATCTCACTCATTAGGAGTTGGCAGGTTCTGTCTCTGCCCTTTCACTTGTGTGGCTGGAAAATAATTTGGTTCGTTAACCTGGCAAAGACTTGTAGGGAGTTTAGGCAGTCTTGTTTTCTGCCATTTTTAATGAACAAAATTGGATTACCAGGTGATCAGGCCAGCACCAAAGCAGGTGCAAGATAAGGAGTGGCATGTGTGTGCAGACAGGAACATACATGCATGGGGGAGAACAGGGGAAGCAAGACCTCCACTTTGATGGAGGCAGGTATTCATTCTGCTCAATTCTGTTGTAAAACCTTGCCTTGAATAACCTGACAGTTATAAGTGCAGTGGGGGGACCTCTCTTATGGCTTAATTGCAATATGTAGCTGATGTTTATCTCTTAATTATTGGGTGGCAAAGAAGATTTTTACCTTGGTTGTGAAATTGAATTAGGTTCAGTTGAGACTTTACTGGGTATCGGGTGTCTGAGCTATGGGGTGGTGGCAGTGTTATGTTCCATGTCACACCTTTGTGTGTCCCTTTTCCTGCTCAGCTTGGCATTGCTGTGGGCTTTCTGGTCCCTCCAGTTCTGATTCCCAATGTGGATGATGTGGAGAAGTTGGCCTACCACATCAGCATTATGTTCTTCATGACTGCAGGTGTGGCAACAGCCCTATTCATCCTGGTTGTCATAGGTAAGGAGGTGGGAGCATGCATGTGAAACCAGGTGGGACTGAGAACATCAGTGTGTGTGTGTGTGTGTGTGTGTGTGAGGGGCCTGTGTGCTAGGAAATGGGCCAGGGAGGTCATCTGGGGATGTGTCCTAGCACGCAGCTGACAGGGTCATGCAATACCATATCTTGCTGCTTCAAGCCCTTGATGAACAGCACATGTAGAAGAGAGTACAAGAGGTTGTGAGTGAGCCTGCCAAATTGTTCATTTCATCTTTTGATTGTCTGCGTAATAAAACCCTGGCATGAGTAAGTCTTTTAAAAGCCAACAGAAATCTTCCAAGGTTCACAGTCATCTTGCCTGCAAACAGGGTGCTGGGCCTTGGGTTATGTCTTGGACCTGACTACCTCTTAAGGGTAGGGAGAAAGAGGCAGGTTATATGGCATCACAGGAACAAGCTGTTCCCAGGGGCAAAGAAGGTAACCAGTTACGAGTGGAGAGAGGGAAGCATTAAGGGCACCAGAGATGCAATTGCCCTGCTTAACACATGAAGTGGAAGACAGATCTTTAGTATGAAAGATTGGCATGCTCACTGGAGAGCAGAGCTTGTCTGCTGAACTCCATGTAATTTTGTTTTATAGGCTTCTCTTGCCAGCTTGTTCATATTGCCTGGTGGCTGAATCAGATGTAGACTTTAAAGAATTTGGGGCAGGGAATAGACAAGGTACTGAAATGGCTGTTTAGCATCTGGTACAGCAGTATTGCTCACCACCAGGATTTCTGGATGCTACTTTAATGCTAGTTAGGGACAGCAGATGGCTTGGCCAGCCTAAGAAGTGCCAGGCCTGAAATATAATCTGGCATAGGTCATTGCTCCCCAGACAATGGGCACTGCACAGCACCAGGCCACTTTTGCCAGCTGGCTTTTCCCATTCTACTTCTGCATTTGTACCTCCACACAACACTGCAGCTAGCTGGCCATTCTCCTGGAGATGAAGGCATTATGAGTCCTGAGAACTCTTTTGTTGCTGCCAGACACTGCCTACACAAAAAGTTAATTGAAGGCAAGGTGTTTCCCCAGTGGCAGGAGTTATTGTTGGAGAGACCCTGTTCTCTCCTGTTCCTGGGTAAGTTCATGCATGGAAATCAAAGCTTAAGAATGATGGTGTATTTGGTACACTTGGTTTTACTAATCTTTCTGCTGTCCCTTAAATGGCTCTAACTACCATGTGTGCTCAGGCTCCCTGATTGCACCTTTTTTGTGTCTGGTTTCAGTTTTCAAGGAGAAGCCCCCACATCCTCCAAGCCGAGCTCAGGCCTTGATCCAGTCAAGACCAACAGAGGAGTATTCCTACATGCAATCAATTCTCCGTCTGCTCCACAATGGCAACTTTTTGCTGCTTATGGTCACTTATGGTAAGGTCTGGCCTTTCTTCTGTGCAATTATCACTGCTAGACATGCTTAGCTTCTCCCTTCCTCTCTGTGCTCTGCTGGGGCCTGTGTTATTTTAGGGAAGCATAGGGATAGCTGTGCTGCCACAGACTAATAGTCTTTCTAGCCCAGTAATCTCCGCTAGTGGTTACAAGCAAATACCTAGCAAAGAACAAAAGCAAGGCAAGCACCAAGGAGCATATGCCCCACTACTGTTCTCCCAGTCTTTAACTGTTTTCTGTTCAGGGGATTTCCTTATCCTGTTATCTTTCTTTCTAGTTTAGTTAGTCACTTGCAATGAACTAATCTAAGTGCTTACCTAAGAAATATATGGAGCTATGTCTGAGTGCAAGTCACAGCCTTGAGTGCAAGTCATTTCCCAAGCCAAGGGTATGGCTGCCAGGCATCCCAGTGGAGGTCACGTGGAGCATACAGATGTGCAGACTGCATCGGCCTCCTTGGCAGTCCCTATGAAGCAAATAGAAGGAAGGATTGGAGAACATAACCTTTTGCCATCTGTCCTTGCACATGGGGTTTGCTTCTTGCTTTTCTTCATCAGTCTTGGTCTGTTTCTCAGAGGGCAGTGTGATGTGTTCAATCTGTTCCCTGATGCTGAATTGTCATATGGAAATGTATTTTTCTCTTTAGCAGAAAGACCATTGCAGTCTGTGCCTGGCTGCATAATAAGATGTACTGTAGCCAGATAGTCTGCAGGGAGTTCTGACCTCACTTCCTACCAGCTTGCTATGGAAGCTCCTCAGAGCAGGGGTGAGGAAGGTTAAACAGTGCTGAAAGTTTTGTCATTCTGCCAGCAGTGGTGCCTAAAGGACCTGGAGGATGAGTAGCCAGGTTGGAGACAGTGAAACTGTTGTACATGCTGAGGGTGCTAATGGTCTTTGGAGTTGCTGGAATCTCTTCCTTCTCTGTGTAGTAGTCTTTTAGAAGTGCCCCTCTCAGATCACCCTTAAGCTCTGCTGGTTTGCATTGCAGTTGATTTTTTTTTTTTTTTTTCATAGTACATTATGTCCTCTCAGAAAGTGGAGACAGAAAGAACTGTGAGGCAGACTGTGTCTAAAGGTTGGATTTAGTCATCTGCTCAGTTTGCACTTGCCCTTCAGGGAAAAGAAAAGGGAAAGCATTTGTTCTAATGGGTGTAAAGTCTTAGAGGAGAGAGGAGGGCTCTCAGTCCTAAAAGCATGTTTAGAATCTGACCTGCCTGGAATAATTCCCTTCTGGCAGTTACAAATGACACAGAAAGACTGTTCAGTGGCTTGTAATTAAGTTTCTCTTCCTGCTGGTCTGCGTGTGTATTCTGTTCCTCACTGTGTCAGCCTCATGTCAGTCTCCAGCTTGACTTGAGATGGTGACTGTTACTCAGAGAGGGAACTATGCATGAAACTGGTTATTTTTAACTAGTCTGACTTTAAAATGGGGACAGTTTTTCCTACTCAAGTCAGAAGTTATGTTGACCAAGATTTAAGACATCTGCAGCCACATCAGTGCAACTGAGTCATTCTCTGTAGCTAACACAAAGCTACCTGCAGCCTCACGTAGCTTTTATATTAGCATGGTATGTGTCAGGGGAGAGAGGGGGAAATCTTCTGGTTGTTCATCTCCTCTGGCTGTAGAAAGAATAGGTGCCCTTACATGATGCCAGGTCAAAACAGGTCTGCAGACGTCAGAGGTCTTGCTGTTGCCAGAAGCTGCCAACTCCCTTTCTGTGGTAAGACCTGCAGTGCTGGAAACATTGGTGGCACTGTGGCTCTGTTAGTGCTAGTGAACTGTTTTTCAGGAAAACCCTCAGACAGGCTTTTCCCAAAAGCTGCTGATGTTGCTTCCATAAAGTTGAGGTATTAAGCATTAAGCATTAAGAAACTCTGAGTTTATTGGGTTGGGCTCTGCATTGGAGAGCATGTTGCTACTGGGAGGCAGCAGGCAGGAAAAGGGTGGGAAAGCCTGGGAAAGGCTGATAGAGTGGGAAAGATGAGACAGCCCCAAGGAATCAGCATTTGAAAAGGTTATGGGGCAGTGAGGAGGAGACAGGGCAATGAGATCTGCATAAGGAACCATTGTCCTGGAGGATGACAAGGGTGAAGAAGAGGGAGACCAATAGTCTGGAGTTTAGGCAATAAGCTGCTTAGCTATAGAAGACTTGGGTTCTAGTTCGAGGCTTAGTAAGTGCTCGTTTTGGAGCCAAAGGGAATGTACTTCCCCTTTCTGGCATCTGTACAATAGAGGAGACAGTGTGAGGTCTCATAAATGTTCTTCTGCAGCACATTATAAGCAAACCATGGTAACTAGCTAATGAATCAGGTGGGGCTGGACCTTCAGATGTCCTGCTCCCAGCTACTAGTTCTGGTTTCTTCATCTGCATGGACAAATGGGCACTTCCCCACTGGAAACAACCCTTGGCTGTTTTCTTGGCATTCAAACAGCTGTAATTCATGGAGAAACTTCACGGGGCAACTGTGACATATGAAATGCCTACAACTTTTGCCAGTCCTCACAAATGCAAATTCGGCACATTGTCTTGATTCTTAGAATATTTTGCCTGACTTTGGTGCCAAGTGTTGCTGCCAACTCAGCATCGCTTTCTGCCCAGCCTGGGAGCAGGAGCCCTTCTCTCTCTCAGAAATCGCATGCATCACAGAGTTGCTATGAAACTGGAATACTGACAGTATCAGCTACCAGAGCAGTGTCCAGCTGTTCCCACAAGGCTGCTGTTGTCTTTGCTGGGCTAGAAGTAGAGGTACACAAATGACTGGTCTATGTTTATGCACAGCTTTGAAGTGAAGCCACAGTGGGTGGAGGGATAGTGCTGATCTGCCACATTCCCACATCCTGGTACTGCAGTTTGTGATGTCTCCTAGTGAGCAGGATGCTCCAGAGGTGGAGATAGGATGAAGCTGAATTAGGCTTTTGGGGGCTGTTTTGCCATAGCCAAATGTTGCAAAGAGACAACTTCCCAGGCAGGAGGGTGCTTCTTTGCTGTGGGATCTCCAGTTGTTCTTCCCCCTCTCTGGGTGTTGGCCTGCTGGAGTTTCCAGCCTTTTTGAGGAACTTGTGGAAAGGGTTGAGTGGATTTCTTGTGCCTAAAGAGTGTGCCACGCAGCTTACTAGCCTCTCTTGTAACACATGCTTTTGGAGTAGGGAGCACTGTCACAGGCACTGGTTTATTTGAGGTCACTTGCATAAGATTTTTCATCTGTTCTCTGTGCCACAAAGCTGTGGGGTGAGCTCTGCTTAATGTTGTCAGAGATGGTGTGTGAAGGAAGTGTAATGTCCCCTCCAGCTGCCAATCTTGTGGCTTCTCAGTGTGCTTCATGAGCTGTGTAAGGCAACAGGTATCCAGTGTCTTGGTGGAGAAGTTGGCTAGGTGCAGGATCACTGAGTACTTCAGGGTCAGGCGAGCTGAAGGACTTCAGGGTTACGGGAGCTCAGGGCTTTGTTCCCTTTGCCTGCTAGACTGCACTTCTGTATCATGTATTGTGATGTTTCTGCTTCTGGCTGAGACCAAAAGAGGAAGTGGGAACTTGACGTGTATCTGTTCTGTCAGGATTTCAGGCATCTGTGCCAGTTTTTAAACCCATGTCTCTTTTTGGAGTCTATAGATGTGTGAGCTGCAGTGGTGAAATCTGTGTCCCCATCCCTCCCCCCATCAAGATCACTGAAGCCTTGAAGAGAAACTAACTGCAAATGTAAATGACTTTCTGAGAAGAAAGTTGAGCCGACTGTTACAGACCTCATCCACCTGGGGAAGGTTTCTCAGTATCACCCAAGGTGAAAGTGTAGCCGTTGCAGTACTGCTGGTCCAGCACCCATGTGGATGTCCTTGTCTACTATAAGAAAAGCTCTTGGTTTTTGTGACCTTTGGGAAAGCATTTAACTCAACCAGAGCTGCATGTAAGCTGAAACAAAGTGTCTGAATGGGACTTGACCAGTATCACCCCAACGGTTTCCATTCTCACCTTGGATGATACTGAGAAACCTTTGCCAGGTGGCTGATGCCTCTAACAGTTAATCTAACTTCCCTTTCAGAAAGACAATTACTTTCACAGTTGTGTTTTTTCTTTTTTTTTTCAGGCTTCAGTGATATCTTTTTAAAAGTAAGATTTTTTCCCATGCAGACACACACACCAGGTGCCTGGGGGAAGTGCTGTCTGTGCTTTACCATCATCTCTGCTCCTACTTGCCTTCTGGTGTTTCTTGGCTTGGAGAGGATGTTTTTTACTGGATAGCAGGGAGGGTGCTATCAGGCTCTTCCCTGGGAGGAAACCATACAGGTCAATGGCACTGGTGTTAATTGAATCCCAGGTCTTTTTTAGAGGTGTGATGTTAAGGCAGGTGCTTTTCTAGTATTTTTACCTTGGCTGGGGGGAGGAGAAATCTCCAATGATAGAGATGGATCAGGCTGGGAGGGAGGGTTGAGACCGTATGAGGGGTTTGTAAGACCTTTCAGTACCAGAAATGTGTGCAGCCCTTTCTCTACATGCTAAGGTAAGAACTGTCCTGAAACTTCAGGGTGCTTCTTCCTGCATGCTGAGATCTGGCTGTCCTTGTCTGCATATTTTTCAGCAACATATGTCTGGCCAGTCCAGCTGGCTCTCCTGAGACCTGGCAGCCTTGTTGTGGATCTCTGCTCCCAAAGATCTCTCTCTGCATTTTCACCCTTTTGTTACCCAGCAGAAGAGTAGCAGGCTCTGAATGTGCTGTATTTTTATCCCCCTCTCAGGTCTGAATACAGGTTGCTTCTACGCCCTGTCCACTCTGCTGAACCGTATGGTGATCCATCACTACCCAGTAAGTACATCCAACCCTCTTGGCCCTCTGATGCTTGTTGTCTAGCTCTGGCTGCCAAAGGAGAGTCTGTGAGAAAGGCAATGCCACACCACAACACTTCTCCTAGCCAGCCAACTTGTGCCAGAGCCAGCCAGAAGTGCATTGGTTCATTTAGTTCTTTACAGCATCCCATGCAAAAGCTGGCAAGCTCTAGCAAAGACAGCTCCTTTACACCCTTAATGACAGCTTTTTCTTCTGAGAAAGTCTTCCAGCAATTGCCTTCACCCTGTTCCTGACAAGGATTTCTACTGGAACATCTGTACAGGGAGGCTGCCCACACTTGTGCTCAGGTGGCAGAAGGGTAGGGTGCTTCAGTAGCTGAGCTACTGTTGGGTCTGTGTGCCAGAGAGCTCCTTTCAGTGCTGCCTTATAGTGGGTCCCAATGTTTCCTGGTCTATCTGTCCCAAATCTTAACAGCAGACAGCAAACTTCATAGGGTTTATGCTGACTCCTCTGAGAATGTCTGTTCATGCTGGCCAGTGCTCACCTTTTTCTCTGGGCTGGCTCAGAGAGAAGTGCCAAACCACTTTTCTTCATGGACCAGAATGCATTGGCTCATAGTGGACCCAGAAGTGTTCTTGCAAAGGCTAGTTCTTGTTAGTGTGTTCCTAGCAGAAGACATGTATAGAACACTAACTTTGGTGTCTCTCCCTCTCTCTTGCTTCTTGTTGGCTATGACTTGGCTCCTGCATTTGTCTGAGTGTGTGTGTATCTCATCACAGGGGAAAGAGGTGAATGCTGGCAGGATTGGACTCACCATTATACTGTCGGGGATGGTTGGGGCTCTGATCTCCGGCATCTGGTTGGACAGAAGCAAAACCTACAAGTAAGTCCCTTGTTTGCCTCTGCTCTCCCCCCATACTGTGCAAGGAGCAACCCTGTGCAGTTGCAATTCAGCAGTCCAGGGACTGAATCATTGGAAGGGTTTGTAGAAAAAAAAAAGCAGTTCTTCAAAATCCAGTTAGTCTAAAGGGAAGCTTGGAGCTGTGCATTAGTCTGCACTGGGCCCATATAAGGTCTGGTTCTAATGGTCCCTAGGGAGCCACAGGGAGAGGATGAGATGGCCCAGCAGTTGCTTTGTCAGGGATGAGAGTTCTTGGAACAAGCAGAATCAAGACTGTACTAGACCATTTCTCAGCCCTTACAAACCAGCTTCTGTGAATCTTTGGCTTAATAAACAGCACATTGAACCCAGTGCCCAGAGGCACTGTGTGAGGGCATGTTGCTGTGTTTAGGGTAGGCATAAAGCATATTGGGGCTATGGGTCGATGCTTCTGTGTTTGCTGCCTGATGGGTTGGGAAGGCACATCTGGCCAGCATACCCTGTCATCTGCAAAGGGACAGCTAAGCTTGTATGTCTTGTAGCTCCCAGTCCTCAGGAACTCAGGTGTCACTGACAGACCTCTGTAGGGTGTCCCAGGGAGTGGTGAGTGCCTCTCCTGTCTTATGTTGGGGTCAGTGTAATCAGCTTTTCAGTTTCCCTCCTGGCTTTGAGAACTGGCTTGCGTCAGAAACAGCGTGGCCAGCAGGGACAGGGAAGTGATCCTACCCATGTACTTGGTACTGGTGAGGTCTCACCTCAATTACTGTGTTCAGTTTTGGGCCCCTCACTACAAAAAGGACATTGAATGACTCGAGCGTGTCCAGAGAAGGGCAACGAAGCTGGTGCAGGGTCTGGAGCACAGGTCGTACGGGGAGCGGCTGAGGGAACTGGGGGTGTTTAGTCTGGAGAAGAGGAGGCTGAGGGGAGACCTCATCACCCTCTACAGCTACCTGAAAGGAGGGTGCAGAGAGTTGGGGATGAGTCTCTTTAACCAATAACAGGTGATAGAACAAGAGGTAATGGCCTCAAGTTGCACCAGGGAAGGTTTATACTGGCTATTAGGAAGCATTTATTTACAGAACAGGTTGTTAGGTGTTGGAATGGGCTGCCCAAGGTAGTGGTAGAGTCCCCATCCCTGAAGTGTTCAAGAGTCGGGTTGACATAGCGCTGAGGGATATGGTGTAGTTGGGAACTGTCAGTGTTAGGTTACTGGTTGGGCTGGATGATCTTCAAGGTCTTTTCCAACCTAGATGATTCTGTGATTCTGTGAACTGTGCTATAATTTGTTTCTGAGCAGATTGGGTGACAGGGGGGCTTTACTGGTGACGTGCTGGTGACGAGCTGAAGGCAACTTTGGAGCTCTTTTCCTTGCAGCAGCTTTCACATGGGGGAGACCCACTGCCACTATCCTACCTGCTATCTTGGGCCAGAAAACCATGTTCTCATTGTGGGTACTTGTGTCTCTTTCCAGCTCAGGGCTAGTGGTAAGGTAGCCTCAACTGGTACTGCTAGGGAGGATGGTCTTCTTGATTCTCCCTAGGTGGAGCTAAGTTGCAGCACGAAGGGTGAAGAGCTTTGTGGCTCACTGGGTAGAGCTGAGACTTGAAATTTGGCAGAATGGGAGAGGGGTAAAAAAATGTATCCTGGATTAGTTCCATGGCCCCTGCTTGCCCACCTTGTGTAGGTGGGCAGAGCTGGCTAAGAGTGCATAAAAAAAGGGTTATGCCACCCATGAAATTTATCCTACAGACCCCAGGGACTATCTGGGGATAGATAGAGCCATATAGGTGAGGAAAAACACTGCTAAGAATTTGTTCTCCGTTGCAGCCCACAGAGTGGATTTCTGTGGAACTAGCAAAATTTTTGAGTGCTACAGAGTCTTTATTTATCCCCATTTAAAAGTCTATTTAAAAAAACTGTCAAGATGCCAGATGTTCTAGGTAGGTACCCTCCCCCTTCCCTCTGCTGCTCAGATAGTGTCAGGAATGAAATGGTAAGCACATGAAAATCAGGAAGGAAAGATGTCAAGTCCTTTTTTTAGTCAGCTTGAAGAGAGTGGGAAGCAAATGAATGGGATCCAGCTGTGATTGAGGGGAGTAGGGGGAGGTTAATAACAGAAGGAATTGTAGAGCTCTACATGCGTGTTTGAACTTTACTGTCCCATCAGCAGTTCCTTGAAAGGGTGAGGCTGTGCTAAGTCAGGCTTTCCCCATCTGTCATGCTCAGGCACCAAATGGCCTTGCATTCTTGCTGTTATTTGGTAGGCAAGTCCTTGCAGAAGCCCCTGTGCTGTTCTTCTTTTTGGAATTAGTAGGTGCAGATTTGGCCTATACAAATATGCAAGTTATGTTGTGATGAGTGAGGGGTCTTAGAACTGGGGCTGCCTCTGATGGGATGGATTGTTGAGAACAGCCCACCTCCTTGAAAGAACATGTTTTGACATCAAGTTAAACAGAGCTCTATGTACATCCTTCAGGTTCCTGGCTCAGAGGAGTGATGGGGTTGTGACACCTGGAGACTGCTGGGTGTATTGGTATTTGTAGGGGAGTCTGATTCAGAATCAGGGACTGGGTTAATCAGCATTTGTCTTTGGCCCTTCTTTGCTTTTAAGGACAGTGTTCACATGGTCTCAGGTCCATCTGGTTCCAGACAGCATTCTCCACTGTCATCACTGCATCTCTGTAAGGCAAAATGTCAGATATATCCATCTCTCTCCATTGACTAGGCAGAGAACCCCAAGTGATGTTTTAAACTTAGGTCTGTACAGGCCCAAAGTGTGTTAAAATTTTGAGGGAGGGAGGAAGACTTTGATATTGGAGAATGGGGTGCTTGGGTCACTTCCATTGAAAGGTGAATGCTCTCTCAGCCTAGCCTGGCTTGTAATTTGGGTCATCTTGTTGTAGGCCTTTTCCAGGTTAGTTCTTAAGTAGTGGATACCTTCACCCTGTCCTGCCGTATGTCTTACATAAATAATTTACCAAGGCTATCCTTTTTTGTGCCTTGTATACAGGAAGAAAGTGGCATAAAACTGAGTGCTGAAGTATGAGGGGGTGGTGAAAACTGAACCAGCCCTTCTCTGACATCTGACACCTCAGTGACTTCAGCAGTAAGATTCTTCTGGGAGTCTTTGTTCAGGGTCTTGTGCAACCTGAAATGTGCTGTCCTCATGGCAAAGCCTGTGGAGGCCACTTGTCATCCCAGTCTGTACAGCAGAGTGCTCTAGTGCTGCACACAACATCCCAGTGAGCAGCTAAAGCTGTGGCACATGCCTGAAGCCTCCCCCTGCTGCTGCCCCTTGTTTATTCATTGCTTCAGATGTTGCTTGACTAGTGTTTTCACAGCTCCGATCCCCTGTGAGTCTGATTCTGTCCCTTTTGGCTTTCCTTGTCCAAGCGACTTTGGGAGACACTGCTGGACAAGGGCTGGGTCATGCCTGTTCCTTACTCTGGGGCTTCCTCCCTCTGTATCTGGCTGAACAGCAGAAGTTGTGCTCTCCATTTCAGACCTGTTCCCTGCTGTTGCTGGCCCTGGCTGGCTTTTTTCCTAAAGGTCTCTCTCTTCTCACAGTCCCTTGTGTGAGCTCTTTAATCTGCCTCTTCAGAAGAGTAGGGAATGTGGCTGGGAGGGCAGATGAATGTCAGGGCAGCTTAGGTTCACTTAAGTGACATGTATCAGCTCCTTCACAGATCTCCCTCTGGCTCTGCTATAGAGGCTTGGCAGCTGGTGCCTTTGTAACACTGCTTCCACATCAGTGTGCTTGGCTTCTTTCCCACACCCCAGAGCACAGAGGTAGGTGTACCTCAGTTGTCCTAAGATGATGTAGCAGGATGTGTAACTTCCAGCCTGCACTCACTGCACCACCCAGCCTGTTAAGGAGACTGACAGTACCTGTTCCAGACAACCATAATTATCAGTCCCTGTAGGGACACCATGGATGGGAACAGGTTGCTAAAACCACTAGAATGCTGTGCAGATATCCTCTGTGAATCTGCTTCTCCTCCTTCCTTTGTGCTTTTATCTCTCCCATAAGATATTTATGGCTATAAGAGGCCTATCAAGCAAAACTGGGCATTCTTCCATGCTCTGGTGCCCCATGGTCCACACAGCATTCTTCTTGTCCTCTAGTGAACATTGATGACGAAGGCCACTTCCTGAGAAATGCCCTGCCTTGATGTCTTTCTCCAGGGTTTCTTTGTTTCCCCAGTGCCTACCTGTGTCTCAAACCCTTTTCAAAATGCTGGGTCTTGCTTGGACTTCTGGGTCCTAAATCTCACTCTTTTTGTTGTCAGTGGTATGCTCAGAGGAGCAGTGTCTTGCTAAATTCTCTTTTAGCAGAAGTCTGCTTGTGTGCTGCAGCTGTTTCCTGCAGCAAGAGTTGCATTCAGGGCTGTCTGTTCAAGTCCCAGTTAGGGACTGTGATGAGCAGGCAGCTGCTCAGTGCGTGACTTCAGGGTACTTCCTGGTGTGTGATTTCCACATCACTTAAGCCTGAGGTCTTGTTCTTTCACAAGGGTCTGTCGATTCACTTTGTCCTGCTGGAGCCCATTGATTCAGGGAGGTCAGTGAGGAAGGCTCATATTCTCCTAGAGCCAGCTAATGTGTGGTAGATAAGGTACCCATGGCAAGATCAGTTTTCTCCATTTTGTCCCCCGCTTAGTTCTGCAGTTTCAATGGAAAACACCTTCAAGACCTGACTGCTTCTATGAGCCTGCCTGCTCTGGTTCTCAGTGGGGGGGCTGCATGTTCTGGGAACTTCTTTCTTGCAGCTTGACTAATGACATAGCATCAGTGTGAAACAAAGTCCTGACCACATCTGGCCACTAAGTCATTCATCACCTTTGCCTGGAGATGAGAGCCAAGTGCAGCTGTTGGCAACTGTCATGACAGAATGAATCAGATATGAACTACTTAGGATACTTGAACATCCTAAGAGCTCTGCCCTAAGACCAAAACTGGCTGTGGGGAGAAAAAAAAATAAAACAAACCCCATGTGCCAAGTGTCTCTGCTGGCAGAGACTAAGCTTCTTAGGGCCACAGCCACTTCTTGGAGGCTTGCACTGTATTTTAGCACTACCTGCTGTGTAGTTTGGAGAATTCTGTTTATGGAAGGAGCACCAGTTCAAACTTGGTCCATGCAGACAAGGGAACTGTAAATCTAACCATGAGCCCCTTTCCTAGTCAACACTTTTCCTCCATGGCTGCCTATCAAGGGATGGGAGGCATAAGAACTCATGGGAGATATCTGAGGAACCTGTACTGAGCAGAAAAAGGCTTTTATCTGCTTCTCTTTCACTTTCTGGGGCTGCTTTCTGTCAGTCTTTCAGGTCTTTTTCTGCAGCCTCCAGGCTTTGTGCTGACCATGTAGCATCCCTCTAAAATGGGTTGTAGCAGAAGCAAGCAGCCCCTTTGTGCTGCTTTCACAGATGACTTCTTTTTTCCCCCATGAAAGCATTGGAAAGAACATATTCTAGAAATGATATAGCACTGGAGGTTAAGGGATTTGCCTACCCCTTTGATACGAAATAAAATTGCTTGTCACGGCAAAATGTTGTTTAGACTTTCAATACATTAAATGAGTCTGGTGAACCTTTGTATGCATGGATCAATAGTTGACGTCTGAAATTAGCTTCTCAAGTCTGAATTGACATATAAGCATGACCCCCACTGACTTCAGTCATTGCAGCAGTGAGGGAAGACAGAACTGTGTATTGACCATATAATACTGGCCGCCCGTTTGGGGTTGGATTTTGACAGTGGTAATTTGCATTAAAAAGGAAAAAAAAGTGAAGATAGTTTGAGGTTTAGTTCCTCTAGTAGAATTCTAGGAACTGATACCAAACTCATTCTTTAATGGATTAAAATTTGGTAGAAAGTACACAAGTAGCTTGTGGTTATACATTTAACTTCTTCCTAAAAGATAATGGCCAAAAGATTTTGTCACTCTGGTAACTGTTCTGCTTTCATGATCCTGGTGGAATTTTAATCAGGTAAAGGGTTTACCTCTCCTTCTTTCCTTTCTTCCCAAAACCATGTACTGTGAAAGGCTACTTGCTACCTCCTGTTTTAGAAAGAGCCTTGGTTTTTGGATGCGAGAAGGGTTTCCTTGGTGTCTAGTCAGGGATGACAATTGCTAATGTTTCAGTTCTGGTGAAGCTGGCCTGGGCTGCTGCAGGTCTGGCTGTTCCCAGGTTCTGCCTGGCCTGCCTCCTGGGCATGGAGTCCCTTTGTCCCCTCTGCCCAGATACCAGAAGTTGTAGCTCAGCCGCTATTGGCTGTGGAACTGGCATTAGCCCTGCTAAATGCTCCCATGGCTTGAGGGTGAGACTGTGAGGGCAGCCTGGCTTGAATGTCACCTCCAAGTACAGTATGCAATTTAAACACAGAAAGAAGCAGCAATGAAAGGGGTTTTGGATAGTACTGAAAAATACAGGCCCATAACACTGTAGCAGTGTTGTCACTTCTTCCCTTTGCTTTCCTGCTTGGGAGTGCTCTTGCTTATAAGTAAGCATGTCCAACTGGTTATAGTACAGGGGTGCCCAAGAAAGATTAATGATCTCTTTATTTGGCTCTTGTTCTCCCCCTCAAGAGGCGTGTATAGTACATGATCTGTCAACCCATGGCAGTATCTGAGCTTCTTGGCTGCCTCATAGGTGCCTCCTTATATATGTGATGCTCTGACTCCACAGGGAGCAAAGCTCCTGGTCATGAGGTAGGGATGTGAAAACTACTAGGTCTTGTTTTTGCTTCTGCTGCCCTGCTCTGTGTGCAGACTCTCCTGTGCTCTCTGTCAGTCCAGTTCCTCTGTCTGGGGTAAGGGTGTCAAATTAGCTGTGCAACTTTTTTTTTTCTTAACCATGTGCTGCAAGCTATACCAAGATCTGTGGATGAAAAGAATAGGAGGACTGCATTAAATAAAACCCTGACTCTGCTTTTCCTTGCAGACAGACAACACTAGTCGTCTATACCATGACTCTGGTGGGAATGATCACCTATACCTTCACTCTGAGCCTAGGGCACCTCTGGGTGGTCTTTCTGACTGCAGGCATGCTTGGGTAAGTTCATGTGCAGGCTGCTTTCCTCTACAGGTGAGCTGCTAGGGAATGAGCTGGGACACAGAGCTCATGGTGCAGGAGGGACTGGGGAGAGCCATGGCCTGTGTGTGGCTCCTGTGTGGTTTAAGTACAAAATGATCTGGTCTTCCCATCTCTTGTGTTTCATTAGAATCAGGGACATTAGCATGGCCCTGCTTAGCTGTAGCTGCCTTAAATGTTCCAGGTAATAAGTGAAAGCGTTTGGGAAGTGAGTGGTACCACAGCCCTGTAGATGACCAGTGGACAGGAATGAAAAGTGTGCAGACCTGGGTGGCTGTTTGTACTGGGGATGATGCCCCTTACAGTTATTTGTGGGAGACGCTGCTTTTAATGCCTCATTTTTGTAGCAACTGGCAGCTCCCTGCTGTCTTGCCTTGAGGCTGTGGGCAAAGGTTTTTCTGGGTAGGGGGAAGAACTGTGCCATGGTGAGGGAGTCAGCTGCCTGGGCTGTGACAATACTAGGAGAGACATCCTGTGCAGTCAGTGAAGCATCCCAAAAGGGACATAGACTTATACTGTGCCTCTTCAGTCCTTCTGGTGGTTGCTAAGTTTTCCTTTCTGTGTGTGTCTTTACAGGTTTTTCATGACAGGGTACCTTCCCCTGGGCTTTGAGTTTGCTGCAGAATTGACATACCCAGAATCAGAAGGAATATCATCAGGGCTCCTTAATGTGTCAGCACAGGTAGGTGTGCTGTTTTCTCTTTGCCTGTCTCTTTATAGGGAGAGCGATTAAACTGTAGTTCCCAGCCTTGACTCCTATTTCTTGTCCAGGATTATTGTAATATTCTACAGATATAAGCACCCCAGGACCTGGCTTTTTGAATGATGGCATTTCTCTAGTAGCACCCATTCTATTTCTGCTTAGGAAAATGCATCAGGATGCCAGTCATCCTTGCATTTTCCAACACTGATCCTAACAGCCTAGGACCTCGCTCTTCTCCAGTGAGAGAAGGCATTCCAGCATTAAGGTTTACCTGTCTTTCCATCAGCTGCAAGGAGGTGTCTCTGGATGTGTTTATAACCAAACTCCAGCCTTGCTAGGCCAACAGCTTGGCTGGCTATGTATGCTCTGATACTTTGGTAAAGCTGGGAAGCTATAGAGGCTGCTTTATAATAATAGCACAGTTTGACATTGCTTTTGGTTTTAGATTTTTGGTATTGCCTTCACTATCGGCCAAGGGCAAATCATCGATCACTTTGAGACGAAGGCAGGAAACCTTTTTCTTTGTTCCTTTCTGTTCCTGGGGACCATTATGACAGGTAATTAAATTTTTCAGTGTTCCTCTGCTGTGACTCTTCCCCTTGGGCTTGGGATGTGAACTGAATGACTTTGAAGTGTAGTGGTGCCTGCAGGAGAGGGCAGGACCCACACAGTAGAGCCATAGCAATGCTGCTGTGCTTCTTTAAGCATCTGGTTTGTGTTACAAAGAAGATCCAAGACTTCTTGCCCTGGTTGCTGGCTGGGGTCTCAAAGATGCACCTTCTACATGCTGCAATGAGTCTCTATCCTGACTGTTTCAGAAGTGCTTGCTCCGTCATCCAGGAGAGTGGTTTCTGTTGCTCACTGTAACATTCCTGTCTCCTCTGGGGCCTCTGCTGCCCCTTTGAGTCCTGGAGAAATTGATTTGGATTCTGCATGGTGACTTAACTGCCTTTACATCTCTCTTCCTCCCTCTGTCCCAGCATTCATTAAGGCTGATCTCCGAAGACAGCAAGCCAATTTGGATAATGAACAGACAGTGAGTAAATCCCTCCTTCATCTCTGCTGTGCCCCTGCTATTAGCTCAGGTCAACACACAACCTCTCTTCTTTCTAGGAATGAGGCTGACCCTTTCTGAGTTAGAATTGCAGCTATGTTTCTCTTATCCCACCACTTCTTGCCCAGTCTGTGGAGAAGCTCCTTGTTGGCATTTTCAGACAGGTGGCTGTAATCCCAGCTCTGTCTGCTGCTGGGCCCTCTGTTTGCTTACTGTTAATGTCAGGCAGAATCTGTAGGCTCTGGGAGTCTGCAGGGCTTCACACATCTTCATACTGTCTAGGGACAGATGTAGGGCAGCACTGTGCTCACTCCTCTCCCCTAACAATGCACTGATCCCTCTAGTGCTTTGCCCTTGTTTAGAGCTGGATAACTATTATTCCAGGCCCCTAGCCCCTAGGGAGGTGGGTTATTCCTCTTATTCCTTGCCCTCATCTGCCAAGTGGGATTCAGTGTATGGGACTGGAGGAAGCTAGGTGGCAAAACCCAAACGAGGGCTTGAGCAGCCTGGCTCCCCACACTTTTCATAGTGCTGCAGACAAGGCTGCTAGTTCATATGTGTGCACCAGAGCTCAGGGCATGATGTTCCTGTGGCATGCTGTGCAATAAATGTAGCTGTTTGCATGTGGGAGAGGGTCTCTGGTGAACTATTTGCAGTGGATACTCTTAGAAGGTCTCTCTGCAGAGAAAGGGATGGGACTGGTGGTTGTTTGCGGCTCTTTTCCTTATTGCTCTGGGCTCCTCTTCTAGGACATTAGGAGAGATGTCCACTCAACGTTCATGAAGCCATCAGCGACCATGACTAGCAAAGTGCATAAGCTCAGTTCTCTGCTGGCTCGAGTCAGTTCTTTTCAGAAGACAGTGCTGCCTTCCTCCAGATAATCTAACCAGTCTGATCTGGAGAGAGACCAGAAGGTCCAAGAAGCAGCTCTGCTCCAACCGGCTGCCCAGGAAGGTGGATTTTCAATTACAAAATACATGCTTTTTAATTTTAATTTTATTTTTATTTATTATTTATTTTTATTGAACTATCTGAGCACAAATGCAGAGGGTAGGATAAGTAAAGGGAATTGATTGATGCTGCCTTGAGTAGTTCTTGCACATACACTTCTAGACTAGATGAGGGGGGAAAAGACTGTACAATTTACCTAGTTTGGGTAAAGGAGTCCCTACCTGCCATTGTCATAACTTAAAAAGAAATCATGCTTGTTTTCCCGCTCTGAGACTTACAACTTTGGCTGCTTTTAGCAGTGGTGAGCATCATGGTATACGGGACCAAGCTAGAAGACAACTGCTTTCCCAGAATCCTGGCATGAATGGGGCAAACTGGAACACACTTAGCTAAGCTGAGCTGGGGTAAAGACCAGTCTGTTGTGATATACACCAAACTGCTTGTATCCCTTGATAACAATGCTGAAGTCAAAGGCAGAGGATGAATTGTAAGGCCAAACCATCCTCCACAAGCCCTGGGGCAGCAGGTTGTAATGAGAGGTGCTGGTGGCACTGTGAGTTAATTCATAACACGTATGTGGAAGGCCTAGGAAGTATCAAGGTCCTTTGGCAGTGAACATGACGCCTAGTAGTAGTAAGGTCCTTTCCCTTTGTCAGGCACTTCTCTCACCAAGTGAATTGTATGCTTCTGCGTAAGTCATTTTTAGTACAAATACAATTGTAAGAGCTTGCTGCTGGAGTGGAGAGGGTGTTGAGACCAGAGCAAAGGTGGCACAGGTGTCATTTCTACAATCTTAAAAGCCTCCAGAACTGACTGCAGTAAGAACCAGAGGGATGTGTGTGAGGTAACATATCTCAGTAAGCCAAAAACTTCACTGGCAGCTCCTTCCCCCTGAGGGAGTCATGCTGGGAAGAAGTAATGATGGACACCCTACTCAGCCTCCACATGGCTCACCTCGGTATTTCTCAAGCTTAACAACCAACCCCAGGTGCTTGACCAACTGAAGGTGGGATGAACCTGGTGTTCTGTGCTAACATGGATGCCTCAGTCAGGGGAACATCCAACTGGGCTTGGGCATTGTGTGCTGCCTTTGTGGAGAGCTCTGACCGAGGCAGGTGCTGGAGCTTTTATACATGGCACAGCTGCCTGACACATGCTTTGGTGATTTTACTAGTTTCTTCCTTTTGCTAATTCCTCTTTTATTTTCCCCTCTTTTCATTTCCCTCCCTACTTGCCTCCCATCTTTTCTGGGATGGTGACTTGTGGCTGTTGTTACAGAGACTCCAAGGCAGCAGTCAGATCACGGATTATGGGACTGTAGCTTGTAACCCTAACCCCATTGATTCCTCCTTCTGCTCACTAGCTCATACAGAAAGGTAGGAGAATCACACTAATCTGCTTCTCTGAACACTCAAGGGTGGCACAGGCACCAAGCCAATGGCACTTCTTGGTAACAATAATGGCTACAGAGTACCAAGAATCCTTCTGGCCTTCTTGGGTACTCGCCTGACAGGAAGGACAAGATAGCTTTCAAGAACAAAGTGGAGATTCCACCAGACTAATGTCAGATAGGTGCAGCAAAGCAAAGCCTTGTGTTGGAGCGGATGTAGAACTGAATTGTCAGTAAATTATTGGGGAGAAGAGGTGCAGGTATTTGGATACTCTTCTCTGACATTACTTTTTACACTCCAGGTTCTTGGCTGGAAGAGTACCAGGAGCCTTGTAGAAGAGTTGGCTTTGATCACAGCCAGGGCACATGGCCAACTTCAAGAAGGAAGTTTAAAAACATCTAGCAATAAGAGTCATTGGGTTGGTGCCTTTTGGTATAAGAATGCCTGAAAATTGTAAAGCTCTGTACTTGCTGCTGTGTGAATCTCAATGGCACTTGGCATTTTCTCAGCTGTTGCTCAGGGTGTAACACTTTATTACTCACTGTCTTCTGCTTTGCACTGACTGGCTGATCTGCCAAGTGAACCGTGCTACCCTTCGCTTTTCAAGGTGTTCATGTAGTGTGTATATCACTTAAGTGTCACAGCCAACCGGACTAACAGACAGAAGCAGATTGAGTCTGTTTGGTAAAATAGCCTTAATCCTGCTAAGACTAGAGTGTGTGCTACAGGGAGTGTGAAGCTGCCACGCTTTGATGCAAACAAGAAGAGTCGTCCCATGGGCAGGTAAAGATTGACTCCAGACTGAGTGCTTCTAAATATGTCTCTGTGTTGCAGTCATTGGCAGTTTCAGCAGGGTACATGTGTAATGTTGATTTGGGACCAAGTAGCTGAGAAGCCCTAGCTGCATGAGCTGGGCAAGTCTGCTTGGGGTATACCGGTACTTTTTTGATGGCTGAAGTTTGTCATCACCTTTGTTAGCAGACCTAGCTTGGTACAATTGCTGGTGTTACTTCTGATATCCCAGTTGCAAAATAGACACTGCAAGGCTCAGTCATGTTGTTGTATACGCCTTGCATCAAAACTGCTTCCATAAAGAAAAATAAAGGACAGGCCACTCTCCTATGAGACTCTTCTGAATGGAACAGAAGGCTCAATACACAGACCTGACCCACTTCTTAGGGAAGTCTGCAGCCTCCCTGGGGTCCAGGTTAAAGATACAAAGAGAAAGCTTCCTACCCTGATACGGCCCTCAGATTATTATCCATTATTGATTTTTCAGGTAGGTAGTGATGAAATTGCAACAATAAGTCTGAGGGCAATCAAGAGAGACTTGAGACAACTGGTTAAGGGATCAGGAGCACAAGTGATGTTCTTTATCCTTCCAGTTGCAGGGAATGATGAAGGAAGAAACAGGAAGAGTCAGCAGATCAATACATGTCTCTGAGCCTGGCGTCACCAGCAGAATTTTGGGTTTTTCGATCATGGGTTGTTTTACATGATACCAGGCCTCCTGGAAACAGATGGGGTATACCTGTCTCAAAGGGGAAAAAGGATCTTTGCACAGGAGTTATCAGGGCTTACTGAAAGAGCTTTAAACTAGATTTGAAGAGGGGAAAGGGATAAAACCAGGCTCACTAGAGATAAGCCTTGGGGCAGCACACTGATGTTTGAGGGATGGTGTGCTAGTGAGGTCCTTTGGTCTGCTGTCTCAGTGGAGGCAGGGAATGGATATCAGTACAGCAGCAAAGATGCAAGGGGATTTGATGTGTTAGAAACCACAGAAGCACCTGAGAATGGTCACATAGGACTTGGGGCTTGTCTGCCCAGAAAGGTGTCAGGATCAATAGCCCAACTGAAGTGCATCTACACCAATGCACCCAGCATGGGCAACAGACAGGGGAAGTTGGAAGCCATTGAGCATCAGGAAAACTGGCATAACGGGATGACTCAAACAACTGGAGGGATGCATTGGATGACTATAAGCTCTTCAGAAAGAATAGGTAAGGAAGGAGAGGTGACGGAGTAGCTCTGTATGTTAGGGAGCGTTTTGACTGTTTAGAGCTTAATGATGGTGATGATAGGGTTGAATGTTTATGGGTAAGAACTGGGGAGAAGGCCAACAAGACAGATGCCATGGTGGGAGTCTGTTACAGACCACCCAACCAGGATGAAGAGGCAGATGAAATATTCTGTAGGCAGTGGGAGAAGTCTCACAATCGCTAGCCCTTGTTCTTGTGGGGGACTTCAATTTACCAGTTGTCTGCTGGAAATACAATGTGGCAGAGAGGAAACAGTCTAGGAGGTTTCTGGAGTGTGTGGAAGGTAACTTCTTGACACAGCTGGTGAGTGGGCCAAATAGGGAAGGTGTCCCACTGGACCTGTTGTTTGTGAACAGGGAAGGATTTGTGGGTGACATGATGGTTAGAGGCCATCCTGGGCATAACACTGGTGAAATGTTAGAGTTGTCAATTCTTGGAAAAATAAGGAGGGATGTCAGCAGAACTGCTACCTTGGACTTCTGGAGGGCAGGCTTTGGCCTGTTTAGGAACCTGGTTGACAGAGTCCCTTGGAAGGCAGTCTTGAAGGGCAAAGGAGTCCAGGAAGGCTGGATGTTCCTCAAGAAGGAAATCTTAAAGGCAC